TGACACACACACCCCTTCATCTCAGTGCACCGAGGCCGTTGTAACCAAGATGGTCTTGTGGGCTAATATAGTTTTGCTAATTGTGCTTGAGTATGTAGATTTAGGGGAAGGGGTTGCCGATTGAACCGTAGCAGCGCTTTGATTGGATGCAGTCAATGTTGTGTGCAATCAGAACCCACCATAGGCATCCCGTAGCCTAGGCAGGGGAAGGCTTTGCCAGACATAGCCCCGCCCACACTCCACCCCCAGAACGCCGACAGAGTGTTGCTGCTCCCAGTGCCTGCCCTCCCCGGTAGCCAGGGAGGGAGGCGAGAGCTGTGCCATGTACCCTCCTCCCTCTCCCCACTCCCAGAGCTCCGGGGGCCAGGGAGGCGGGAGCCGCGCCACACTCCCTCCTCTCTCTTCCCCTCCCCCGGTGCTCCACAGGTTAGGGCGTGCACACGCACTTCCTTCCATCTCTTCCCCTCCCTATAGGGGGTGGGGCCTCAGCAGAGGGGAGGCTGCAGGTGGGGCTGGGAGCAACCACCCCTGGCTTTACGTGTGTGTCACTTCAGTAACACCCGTAGGAAAAAAACTGCTCAGACAGAAACCAGCAGAATCTGCCAACTCTGTGCATGGACAATGGTAAATAAAATGTCTCGAGCCATTTATAGAACCCAATGGGTCGTATGTGGCCCATGGGCTGCAGGTTACCTACCCATCATTGGCCTATATCCATCTGCGCATTTTATACCTAGAAACTGGTTAGGGTAAAATAAGAACCAACCAACCTAAATCTGGAAGGATTTTTGAAGCTTGAGGATATTCTTTGTTAAATTGTTTCTGTGCAAAAAACAAAACAAAACAAAACCCCCAAAATCATCCACTTCTGCATTTCCAAGGTTAGGATAAAAGATGAAACACCAAAATGCACTGAGACCAGTAATATTTTTGTTCTGTATGGAATTATGATACTCTGAATACTCCATAGAAGATCAGGCTTTTGTGGGATTTCCAAACCATGGAAGTTTTAATATAAACTGAGAACAGCTATGGATGAAATTTGATTATTTGTCCAGAGCAAAGTTTTGTCTAGATCACGAAGGAAGGAAGGAAAGAAGAAAGGAAGGAAGGAGGGAGGGAGGGAGGGAGGAGGAAGCGAGGGAAGATCTATGGGATGAGTTACTAAGGCCATGTCTCCACTTGTCAGAGATTCAACGCTCTGGCAATCAATCCTCCAGGGTTTGATTTAGCGGGTCTAGTCAAGACCCGCTAAATCAAGCACCAAGGGTGCCCCTCTCGGTACTGGCACTTATTGCTGTTGCGAGCAGTAAGAGAAGTCGACAGGAACATTTGTCCCGCCAGCCTTGAGCTGTGGGGCCACACCAGAAAATCGGTGCAAGGTACATCAACTTAAGCTACACAGTTCAGGTGGCAGGAGTTGCATATTTTGCATCAGTTTTCTCCAACCTGGCCTGAAGTAGTTGTTCTTGCTGCCAGAACAGTTCAAGCAAACCAAGGCTATATCTACACTGCAGTTCTTTTTGGGGAAAAGGTACACAAATTGCGAACCACCATTTGCATACCTTTTTCTGATTCTTTTTTTGGAAGAGGCTTTTCCAACATTTGGCCCGTCCACATGGGGCCAAATGTGGGGAAAACCTCCTATTTTGGAAGAGCCCTTATCCCTCATAAAATGAGAAAAAAAGAGCTTCTGAAAAAACATGCCCGCTTTTTCAAAAACAAATCCAAAAAAGCAGACGGCTTCCCTGGACGTGGCAGAGTTTTTCCGGGATACCTCCGGTACCCCGGAAAACCTCTGTAGAGTAGACATAGCCCAAGGAACCTCTAGAGAAGAAATGTTAGTTACTATGTAGATGGGGGAAGGAGGGGCTAGACAACCCAAACTAGTCTTGTCTCACCTGATTCTCTGGAGTCCAAAGACAGAACAAAAATGTAGGCATATTAGGGTACGTCTAGACTACCGCGTTTTGTCGACAGATACTGTCGACAAAACTTCCGTCGACAAAGAGCGTCCAGACACATTGAGTTCTGTCGACAAAGCAAGCTGCTTTGTCGACAGAACTCTGTAGTCTGGACGCAATGTTACAGGCAATAACACCTTCTGTCTACAGAGTTCTGTCGACAGAAGGTGTTATGCCTCGTAAAATGAGGTATACCAGCGTCGACAAAACTGCTGAGTTCTGTCGATGTTATGTCGACAGAACTCAGCGGTAGTGTAGACGCTGGTATAGTTTTGTCAACAAAAGTCCACTTTTGTCGACAAAACTAGGTAGTCTAGACACACCCTTAGACAAGGATGTAGCCTCCAGGAGATGCTATCCGGGGAGTACGCCAGTGCTTCTGCCCAGCTCTGCTCTGTCCCAGAAAAGACATAATTAAGGCAAGAGATATGTGTTCTGATGGTGTTGAACATTTAGCCTGGAATCACTTTGTAGTAACACCATTCTGCCACATCCCCTACAACGTGACAATGTAATTTGATAACTCAATCCACGCACGATTTTATTTGATAAGAAACAATTTCTTGGTGACAGAATGAACACAATAAGTGCTCCTGCTCATATTGCCTTGTCAACCTTCTAGTAAATCTGAGTAGCTTCTCTTGCCGTTGTTTAGCATTCTCGCTCCCCAGTGACACAAAATACGTCACTTACATGTCGGTTCTGTTCTGAAGATCTCTAATAAACATTGTTTCTTCCCTAAAAACTAGAAAAAGCCCAATCCAGCTTCCACAGAAGCCAAGAGTGCTTTGGTCATTGCTCACATCAGTAGCAGAGGAATCAGACCCATATTATATTATCTATCTGAGCTACAAGTTGAACGTCTCTAATCTGGCTTCCCTCAGGACCTGAGCGGTGCCAAACCAGAGAATTTGCCAAACCATGGGAGGTCTGTATTGTCTAGCAGCATCACCAACACTTCCTCTGCTAACTGGGCTCTTAGAAGACATATGGGGTGAATTAGAGCTAACTAACAGCACAGAACACTGAGCACCAGAACTGGTGGCTGTAAACAAAGTTTATGGGACCATGGAAAACTTGGCCACACCCATGATCAGTGGACATCCGGCTACCTAAAATCATGCCGGACCACGGATGTTGCTGGACCAGCGAGTGCCGGACTAGGGAGAGGTTCAACCTGTACTTTCAAAGGAGAAAAAAGTGAAAATGTCACTAATCTTGCCCCTTTTTTCACGTTTTTCAAAATTTGATCAAAAATGTTTGGAAGAAACTTTTGGTTTTAGGAAATATTAACTTGCTTGCCTGCGTGTGCCTCTCCCCGCCCCCCCTCCCAATCTCCTCTTCTCATCTTCAGCAAGTCACTTAAGTTCTCAGAGTTTCATTTTCCTCCTGTGTCCAAACAGAGCAGCACCCCTGCTGGGAGAGCTAATTGATTAGTTAATAGCTCAACATTATTTTGCATACAAAGTGCCGTGAGTAGTGATTCTTATTTATTATTGATGCTGTTTAGTTTCATTCCCTAGCATTTGGAAGTAACTGACAACGAGAAAGGAGGATTAATATTTGAATCACAAATAAGGAAGCAAGGACAGTTACGGACTTTATTCTGACTTCACTTTCTTTGGTGTAACTATTTTGACTCCAGACGTGGTCCCCCTGATTTATATCGAACCTACATTTGGGCCTTGAAAAACAAATGATGCTGAAATTTTATGCACAATTTTTGCTGATTTGCACGTGTAACTTATAGAAGGGTAAAAAGTTAAAAGATAAAAGATAAAAAGGCAGAAACTCCAACAGACAGGGGAATGAGGCTACGGGAATGCACCCCATCTTTTATGCTCTCACCTCCTTTTGTACAATGATCCCCATCAGAGCTAATAATATTAGCCAAGATCATGAATTCACTCCCAGCTCTACCCTCTTAAACATAATATTTGTATTACGCCTCTTGAGTTAATCAGTCTTGCTACAGGCTTTACATATGCAGTAACGCTATTAACATGCAAGAATGAAACGTGAAGTGCAAAAAAGGCTTTCAGAAATGGAACGGGGCTGAGAGAGGGGAAGGGGGAAATCCGGCAGAAGGAGACTAAATGGTAATTCAAAAGCTTCTGTTTCAGGCTGACTGCTGGGTGGAGAAACCCTGGATTGTCCCAACTCCCTCACAGAAGTCGTTCTCCTGGAAAATTTACAGCTCTGAGCTGATTGTTTGACTTGGCACTATAGTCAGGATGCTGCCTTGTAAACTTAATAATAGCTGCCCTCTTTTTAATTTGTTTGACCTTGACTACAATAATTTATTATGTGCATTAGATCTTTTTTTGTTTTAACAAAGAATTTGGCTTCTTTCTCTTCACTGCATGATGCTATGGTTTCGAACCCCTCCTGCTTCATAGTGCACTGTGGCTGCCTCATAGCAAGCTTAGAGATTTGGTGGGGAAGGCAATCCCTTGAAAACCATGTTCTCCAGGTTGCCTTAAAGTAGAGGAGCTTTTCCTAGCATAAATATATTATCTTTTTACAGGGTTCCTTTTGAGACGGGAATCCTTCTGGTTTGCAAAACTTTCCTCCCCACCTCTTGGCAGGCCCATGTGAGGAAACAGCCGCAACGTTATTTGTATTTTAGAAACCATGTAATTGCCAAAATAAAATAAAACAACCCCAAGCCCCAACACTATGTATATCCAGTAACTCCTGTCGGTGTCAGCAAAAAGCCCCAGCAGAGTTGAGGACAAAAAGCAGACGGAGGTGTTCAAATTGCTGCTGTTCAAGGCACTTTTCTGTAGCACAGAGCATGCGGAAAGCCACAGGCTTTTTAGGTTGTTTGATGGTTGTATTTGCACCATTCAGGTTTGATATTCACTGCCCCAGCCCAGTTCGCGGAGGTACATTCTGTATCGGCAGCATTCAAACACGCTCTGTTCGGGCTATGTGCAGTGCCCATCATTTTATTCCCAGGCGAAATTGTGGCTCCAAAGAGTTGACATTGTTCAGACTTTCCGCAACAGGCCTCTTTTGTCTTTCTGGTTGTAGAAGAGCCCACATTTCGCTGTGAGGACTGCGATGAACTCTTCCAGTCGAAGCTGGACCTGCGGCGACACAAGAAATATGCCTGCAACTCTGTCGGCTCGCTGTATGAGACGCTGAATGAGGAGATCAAACCGGAAGGGCTAAGCGATGGCCAGGTCTACGAGTGCAAAGACTGTGAGAGAATGTTCCCCAATAAATACAGGTATTGCTGAGGCCACAGAAACTCGTGTGGGACGTGGAAAAGTAAAAGAAATTATCCTAACACAAAATATGACTTTGAAGTGCATGGATCTGGGGGAGCAGGAGTGGCAGTAGATCATGGCTTTTCAGCTGTAGGCCACCATCCTGAGGGATTTGGGCTTATTTGGTCTGCAAAAGAGAAGAGTGAGGGGGGATTTGGTAGCAGCCTTCAACTACCTGAAGGGGGGTTCCAAAGAGGATGGAAAGAGGCTGTTCTCATAGGGTACGTCTAGACTACATGCCTCTGTCGCCAGAGGCATGTAGATTAGGCTACCCGACATAGTAAAATGAAGCGGCGATTTAAATAATCGCCGCTTCATTTAAATTTACATGGCTGCGAACGAGGAGCAATGGTCTCAGGTTGCAGTGGTGGAGGTCTAGGTTGGAACCTAGAAGAAAGTTCTTCACACAGCGCATAATCAACCTGTGGAACTCCTTGCCTGAGGAGGTTGTGAAGGCTAGGATTATAACAGGTTTTAAAATAGAACTAGACAAATTCATGGAGGTTAAGTCCATAAATGGCTATTAGCTAGTATAGGTAAGGAATGGTGTCCCTAGCTTCTGTTTGTCAGAGGGTGGAGATGGATGGCAGGAGAGAGATCGCTTGATCAGTACCTGTTCGATTCACTCCCTCTGGGGCACCTGGCATTGGCCACTGTTGGCAGACAGGATACTGGGCTGGATGGACCTTTGGCCTGACCCATTATGGCCATTCTTATGTTCTTATGGATATTAGGAAAAACTCGGAATGGATTACCTCAGGAGGTGGTGGAATCGCCATCCATAGAGGTTTTTTAGTCCTGGTTTGACAAAGCCCTGGCTGGGATGGTCCTGCTTTGGGCTGGGGATTGGACGTGATGTCCTCCTGAGGTCTCTTCCAGCGCTGAGATTCTATAGTTCTGCATTTGGCTCCGACTGGTTGTTTTCAGAAAATCACTCTCAATCAGGCAACTGATGTTGAGTTTGTAGTCTCAGTTCATGACTTAGGTTCCCCTGTCATAGTACATTTTTTATTTTCATGTGTGTGTATGTTGGTTGGGGGAAGTGGATTCTTCTTCCACAGACTTTAAAAGTTGGCAGACAAGGCAGGTGGGTTTTAAGTCAAGACTGAGGCACATTGGCAGGGCTAGTAAGACGGTCCCGCTCCTCATTCTGATGGGCTGGTTCAGTAGCTTAGCAGAAGTGTTCAGTTCTGTCGACCAGGCATGGCGACCATTTGAAAAGAGCATACCAACAGGGCCTGTTCCTTCACCACTGAAGTCAAGGGGATGAGGTTCTCTGCCAGAGAAACATGGCAGTAGGATTACAGCATTGCCCGTCCTACAGAGGTGATCCAAAAATTTCCATCGCAACAAAATCTTTGTTAAAATGTATTTAGTGAAAATTTTCTTTACAAATATTTTCTGCTTTCCAATCCTTTCTGAAGTGAATGAGAAATAACTCACTGGGGGAAAGGGGAGAATGAATGATAAAGCTCAGTTTAGTCTCTTCTCTTTAGTAGTATCAGCCTTTTATAATGAATTTTACAGGGAAGGTTTTAATGAAAATGTGGCAATTGCAGAGTGCCTATGTGTGCATTAAACTGGTCACCTTTAAAAAAACTTAAAAATCCTCTGCCCAGTTAAACTTACTTACAATTCCCTTTCCCAAAAATTTAATTCCATGCATAGATTAAATGTAATGCCACTTCAGTTGGAAACTACCAATTTTGTTTGCTCCCCAGCAAATCTGAACATTGCCCTTTATTCAGAGAGAGAGAGAACCCCCGCTAATGCAGCTGAATAAATCCAGTCAATACACCTAGTTTGCCTAATCATTCTTGGAATGTAATAGAGATCAAATCAAGAATATCAGTAGACAGCCGAAATTGAGCACTTAGCAGATGACGAGGTAAACAGATGTGCTAATCTCACTAGATATTTTCTTGTAAATATTGAGTTTAGTTGTCCATATTTTCCTCAAAATAAACTCATAAATCACGACTAACCGCAGGAAAATAATATCACTTCATGGGTGAACCTACTTTCTTTATCAGAATGGGTGATTATTCTTCATCAATAACAGCAAGTCAACAGCAAGTGTTTTGCTTGTGACAATTAGCAATCAGAATTTGAAGGGAAAAGAGAGGATGTCCCATGGAGCAGGGAGATTTTAAACTGCCTTGGTTCATCAGAAATGGTTAGCCGCCAGAAGGAAATCTAGCCACGCCCCAGAGGTGGCGTGCAGAAACAGCAACATGCAGAGTTGTCATAACTTGTGAACCCGCAAATGCTGTCATGTCACAGATATTTGAATATTTCAATTTTCAGTTTTGGCTGGGAGTGGCGAAAGAAACTAAGGACTTGTCTCCACGGTGCTGGGGAATGATGTTTCAGTGATCGATACACCGGCCGTTGATTTATCGTGTCTGCCCAGACATGATAAATCAATTTTTGAGCACTCTCCCATCAAAGCCAGTCCTGCACCAGGATGAGAAGAGTAGCTGGCATTGACAGGAGAGCAGCCCCTGCCAACCTTACTGCATGCAAGATGCCACCGTAAATACGTCAACTTCAGATACACTAGTTGCGTCGCTGAAGTGACACAGATTAGATCATTGTCAGGGTTTACACTAGGCCTTAGGGAGTAAAGTACCTAATTCCTGGGTTCTTAACACCATAATGATCATGTCAAAATCCCAGCCATACGGCCTAATCTTGAGATGTCGTACCTTTATAGAATAGGGTCTATGGAATATAACTTACAGACAGAACCTTTCTAGCAGGTTTTTAACTGTCCTGTAGAATATAATATAGAATTAAATACCCACGTTAAATGTTTATAGGGACAATTTTTTAAAAACCTATCGAGAGGATTTCATTTTCTATTAAATTTCAATGGATTTTAACAGTTCTGTGGATGAGTATCTGCTACTCCCAGTGATCTGTATTGGAAGCCAATGTGAGTTACAAATGTTCCTCCTTTCTCGGGATCACAGGATTTCCAGGGTGAACAACTTCCAGCCTTTTTGGCACTTGAGTTGCTAATGGGGTAAATTTTTACCACACTATATGTTCATCCTTGGAGGAGGACTATCCTGTCCTTCTTACCCATCCCACCGCCCATCCCAGTGGCTTCCCTTTACTGTCACCCCCTGGTTTGCTGGCACAGCAGGAGAGTTGCTTGCTGACACATACACTCAAGATGAAAAGGCAGACAGAATATTTTGGCATGGGGGAAATACAGCAACCTACGGCTTGCTCTGAAAAGCTATCTGTGTAATGGCTGTCTTCCACCAGCCACTTCGGCTGGCCATCATCGGGCCTGGTTTGAGACGCGCTGCCAGTTGGCAGAAGTTGAAATCGCCGAGTTAAGTCATAAAAGATGTCTGACATTTAAAAGTGAAATGTGTTTGCACCTTATCACATTTCTTTCAAATGCGGAGTCCCCAGTGTTCTGCAGCGCGATGGGCTTTATGCCCATGAAAATGGCAACAGGATCAAGTCAGCAGCTACCGTGAATAGCTCGTCTTTCCTTGCCGGAACTTCAGGAGTCTCTGTCCCCTGTAGGTTTTTTCCCTTCGTGGCCCTGCAGGACTGGGGGTCCGTTTTCTCTCTTTTTCAAGCTAAATGGAGCCCACTTTTGAGGGAGGAAATTCTTGAAACGTAGCAAATTTTAGAGGGTAGAATGGACCTGTTTTCAAATGTGGAATGAAATGCCAAAAGAAAAAAAAAGAACATTTCCCTAGACACAGCCTTGCTCGTTAACCTGCTGGCCGCTTTATTTTAAAAGATTTTGAAGTCCCGTCATGTGAGAAGCACCATCTCAGATCATTAGTTCTGAAAAAAAAAGCAATGGCTTATCGACCTGTTTCTCTGTCACCATCTTTAATGTCACCACCATCTTCATCTGTCACCCTCGGGTCCGGCTGAAACGGGATGGGACAACAAAAAGCCAGGCGGCCCTGGGGCAGGAGGGATAAGGGGAGCCCTGACTGTAAGGTGGTGGGGCAGGTTCCAGCATCTCCTTGGTACAGAGGCCCTGAAGAACCATGCGTGAGACAGGATTGCGGTCACTGTCGCTCCATTGTCAACAAGTGTCTCTAAATTGGAGGTACAATTGGGCTGTCCCTAAATTAGAACCGGTCAAGGACTATGTTATTCATTAGCTCTCTGACTGTGGCTGAATGCCTGAAATCTCTGCTCTGTGCCTGTCTTTCTTTCCTAGCCTGGAGCAGCACATGATAATCCACACGGAGGAGAGGGAGTACAAGTGTGACCAATGTCCAAAGGCTTTCAACTGGAAATCGAACCTGATTCGTCACCAGATGTCACATGACAGTGGCAAGCGATTTGAATGTGAAAACTGTGTGAAGGTATGGTTCAGGCCCTTATGCAGCTCGGGTTTCCCAGCGCCGTCCAGGAAAAGACCTGGTGAGCGGGAGAAATGACGCTGCGGCAATAATCAAACGCAGTGGCTGTCGGCATGGTTTTACCGTATTGAGCAGGTGCTCAGCAAGATGCAGCCCAGGGGCCGGATCCGGCCCACCTGACACTTTGGTCCGGCCCCTGGACTGCATCTGGCCACTTTCTATTTATATTCTGCTGCCCGTGCCTCCAAATTTCCAGACAGTAGTTCAGGCAGCAGGATCCTACTTAAATGACTCATGGCTCCCTGTCGCTGCTGTACCCCGGTAGGGGCTGGAGCCATGAGCATTTTAAGCAGCTGCAGCAACTCCAGGAGGCTGCTAGGCAACGCGGTAGTGGTGGGGCCAGGAGTGGTGTTTTTAATTCAAAGCCTCTGGCCCACACACCTCTGGGGGGAGGCTAGTCCTTAGCCCCTCCCCTTCCTCTCCAGACCCCTCCCCTTCCGGGGGTGGAGCCAGCCTGTGTCCATGTACCAAAATTCATTAAGTAGCCCCCCTGCAAAAATTATTGCCCACCCCTGGCCTGTAGGCATGACGATTGCAACCCTTATTCAGAATAAGGTTGTATGAGTAACAGGAAGCAAAGAACAGACTCCTCAGCCCGTAAACTTGGATGTGGGACCCGATCCACCAGCAAGCAGCCATTCCCATAGCCTTTTCCCCAGCATCACGAGGCTCTCTAGATTTTAGGAGAGCCCCGTGAAGCATGTGTGTTGTCAGGCAGCTAGACTGAGCTGTTCAGAAGCAAAACTATCCATAAACTCGGGGATACCATAGAGGAGTCGGGTGCCGACAGATTCGCCTGATACAAGTCAGCACGGATTGTAGCTGTTATCTCTTTGCGGAGCAAGGAGAAAACCCTGCAGTGCTGAACTCAGCATCTCTTAATCCGGACCACGTTTACGACAAACAACAGTTGTCAGCCAAGCCTCCCACCGCTGCTTCCTCCCACTCCCCATCGGTCTGGGTCCCCTCAAAGCCTTTTCTCTGTTCTCGTTTTCTCAGGTGTTTACTGACCCTAGCAACCTCCAGCGGCACATCCGTTCCCAGCACGTTGGTGCGCGAGCCCACGCCTGCCCGGACTGCGGCAAAACCTTTGCCACCTCGTCTGGCCTCAAACAACACAAGCACATTCACAGCACTGTCAAACCTTTCATATGTAAGTTGTCACGGCCATCACAGTGCTCTGGCTTTTGCTCTAATTGCACATATCCTGAGGGGGGCCCCCGGCACGGGCTGTACCTCTGTCGAGCAGCCGCTGTAATTTTATAGGTCAGAGCACAAGATGAAATTCCCCAGCAATTTTTTTTTTTGCATGCGCCTTGTTTTTTCAGTAAACATTCGTGGCAGTTTTTGACTTTCTTGACAAGTTAAAAGCTGAGTTGCTCAGCAGTCTCAGGGATGCCATTTTCTCATATCTTTTCTTTCTCTCTCTCTCTTTCAAATGTTCCTGTGGGTGACATAAATAGATAGCCTGAGAGAAATGTGTTTCTGGGGGCTTCAAATCACATGCCCAGTGTGAAGAATTTAGGAAAGCAGCAGATACTAGAAATAAGACACTTTAAAAAGCAGGGAGTTTTTTTTCTTCTTTATTCATGAAGCCTTTAATCTAGACATTACTCGGCCACCATTTAAATGACAAATTAGCTGCATCAAGAGGCCGTGTCTATACTGCAGGGCTTAACTCGAAATAAGCTACACAAACTGAGCTACGTCAATTGTGTAGGTCATTGCAAAAGAGCTTATTTCGAGTTTTGGTGCTATCTACACAGCACTTACTTCGAAACAGAGCACTCTTCCTCCGACTTCCCTTACTCCTCGTACAGTGAGAGTTATAGGAGTCAGAGTAAGAAGTCCTCCAGCTTGATGGTATTTCGACATTTTATTCGACTATGTTATTTCGAAATAATGTTGCTGTGTAGACATAGCCTTAGAGACTAACAGAAATATATATTGTATCATGAGCTTTCATGGGCAAAACCCACTTCCTCAGATGAGCTGGAAGAAATCCAAAAGGATCACTAGATCACTAACCCTGGGAATGCTTGCAAGCTCTTAACTGATTTTCTTACTGCTTTTGGGTTTTTCAAAAAATCAACATAGTTACCCATTGCACCTGGGTAATTGCTCCGGAAGGTGTATTCGACACACCTAGAAAGGTGCATGAAGTGCTCCGGGCGTTGGCATGTGGCATCTCTCCGAAAAGGGGACATATGTAGTTAAAGCACAAAACAGGATCTCTTGTTCAGTTCCTGGCTTTAAGGTGGAAGCTGCATGTTACGTTGGGGTGGACAAAAAGCCAGATGCAGTTCGCCCCTGGTGGGCTGCTGGTATTTTATTTACCTGCATGGCGGCAGATATGGCCACTTGCAGCACCCATTGTCTGCCAGTCATCATTTCTGGCCAATGGAAACTTCAGGAAGTGGTATCTCGGTCCGCGCTGTTTCCCGCAGCTCCCATTGGCCAGAAACAATGATCTGTGGCCAATGGGAGCTGCAAGTGGCCGTACCTGTGACCATACCTGTGGCCAACCCTGGTGAACTATATCTGGCCCATAAACCACTTATTGCCCATCCACGTATAACATCATGAAAACCCAGTGAACTTTTCTTTGCTTCTGTATCTCCAAATGGGAAGAGTGCACAAGGGTAGGAGTGAAGCGACATTCATTCATGTGCACTGAGATAATCAGAAGGGCATCAGTAGGGAAGTACAAAATACTGTTGTGATTCATTTTGCTGACTAGAGAGACGATGATGTGATCTTTCATTTAGCATCTCATGCCAACTGGCACATGAAAAAGAGAGACTTTGAAGCTCATAATATTTCTGTGTTGAAATGAACAGTTTCTTCTAACAAGGTCTTCACTCTTGAATAAAAGCAATGATGGGGAAAGTGTTCTCATCCATATCAAGGTTTGAAATAACTTGAAAACAAGTCTACCCAGGTCATGTGACAAGCAATGTGCCCTCTAATTTTTTCCATCCATGTGCGGAATGCATTTTGTTATGTGCACTGAGGCATGTGCAGATGTGCACCACCCATAGAAACACATGCTGTGGGCACTATGGACACTCTGTTAATTGGCTGGGCAGCATTTGAATCTCTCCTGGGTAGCCACCCAAGCCCTCAGTTTGCAGAGAACACTGGTGACAAGTGGAGATTTGTGTTGATAGGGTGCATCTACACTGCACTGTTATTTCGAGATAACTAGCATTATTTCAGTATAACAGTGCAAGCAGCTACACAGACATTCAGTTTTTTCGGAATAATTTCAAAATAATGAGCGGCTTCATTCGATGAGGAATAACGCCTATTCTGAAATAGCTATTTTGAAATAAGGTGTGTGTAATCACTCCACTGCTGCTATTTCGAAATAGCCTCTCACCAGGGTCATTCTAAGTTATTCTTCCCCAGTGCCTTTGTGGGGCTGTAAATCGAGATAGCATGTCTATATTCAGGAAGCCTGCCTCATAAGAACATAAGAACAGCTGTACTGGGTCAGACCAAAGGTCCTTCTAGCCCAGTAGCCTGTCTGCCGACAGTGGCCAGCACCAGGTGCCCCAGAGAGGGTGGACCGAAGACAATGATCAAGCGATTTGTCTCCTGCCATCTCTCTCCAGCCTCTGACAAACAGAGGCCAAAGACACCATTTTATCCCCTGGCTAATAGCCTTTTATGGACCTAACCTCCATGAAATTATCTAGCTTAAAAATTATTAGCCTCGGTCTAATTTTGAGGCTTCCCTGCTGCTAGTTCGAAATAAGCTATTTCGGAATAACTATTCTGGAATAATTTATTTCAAAAATAAGCATGCAGTGTAGACGTACCCATACTGAATCGGTTAATGGGGTCAAAAGTAAAAAATGTCCATAGGTATTGGGGCACTTCCTGACTAGGCTTTACAAACTCTTGGGGCCACAGAGTTCCCTGGAAAACTTTTTTCTTTCTGTTTAACAGAAAGTATTTGCACCATTGTACCTGAATAATAAAACAAGTAGATTTGGGTGCTTTTATAACTAAAAAACCCAGAACAGTAAGTGAGATGATTCCATGTGAATTTCCAAAATCACTGCACCTCTGGGCTTTGAAACAAGTATTTTTAAGCTCTCCTTTGGAATTGGAATGATGAAATAAGATCTGGTCTCCTTTCCAGGGAACTGTTGCTTGTGCTGCCTAACCATGAGGGTGTTGCAAAGATTCTTTCGGGCATGGAGGAATGAAAAAAAACAATAATCCCTTTCTTCTTATTTTTAATATTACCCTTCATCTTTCCATCTGTTTTTTTCTGCATGAGATGATTATACTTTGCTTGTTTATTTGCATTATTAAACTTATTTACCATAGGGATACGGCTCACCCACAAACCCAATGTTCAGCCAACGAATGTTTACAAAAAATTGCATTCTCTTCTGATGTAATTTACTAAAGTAGATTAGCTATTTATTATGAATTTTTATATCTCTTCCAAGCCACAATATAACATCTTTTGGCACACACAAAGGGAGACATAGTTAAAATTAGAAAGGGGGTAATTTTCCACTGGAAAGAAAAATATACAAACATCTTTTCAATAAATCCAAAAATGTGACATTTCTCCAAAAATTATTAGTAATTTGAGAGGGAGTTATAAATTCACACACATGGAAACACTTGTGTTCACACAGACCTATATACACGCTCTCTTGAATACATGCAAACATTCTCTGAGGCCTACAGATGCTCTCTTTGCAAATACACAAGCATGCAGGGAGAAACACTCCTGCACTCTAGAATTAAAGAGTCAAACAGATGCAACTGTCAACGCCAAGAAACTCAGGCTACGTCTAGACTGGCATGATTTTCCGCAAATGCTTTAACGGAAAAGTTTTTCCGTTAAAAGCATTTGTGGAAAAGAGCATCTAGATTGGCACGGATGCTTTTGCGCAAAAGCACTTTTTGCGGAAAAGCGTCCGTGCCAATCTAGATGCGGTTTTGCGCAAGAAAGCTCCGATCGCCATTTTCGCCATCGGGGCTTTTTTGCACAAAACGGTTCTCAGCTGTCTACACTGGCCCTCTTGCGCAAAAGCATTTGTGCAAGAGGGCTTTTTCCTGAATGGGAGAGTCATTTTATTTGCCGAAGAACACTGACAATCTTACATGAGATCGTCAGTGTTCTTGCGCAAATTCAAAGCGGCCAGTGTAGACAGCTGGAAAGTTTTTCTTCAAAAGCAGCTACTTGCCAGTCTAGATGCAGCCACAGAGTTAAGGCTGGAAGCTCCATCCTTACCTTGACCTACTTTCTGCAACACTTTGGGTATGTCAACGCTACTACGTTTTGTCTGCCTTTTGGCAACAAACTGTGAGAGTGTTCATACTCCAACACCACTTTTATCAGGAAAAACACCCAGTTTTAGTGCAAAAATCTCCCACCTCTGTGAGAGACATTTTTCTTTTCCCCTCCCATTATTGTCAACAAAGAGCCAGTGTAGACATTGTGCTTTTTGTCAAGAGAACTGGCTTCTGCCAGAATCCCACAATGCCTTCCCTGCTGGCTCTGCTCAGTGTTTTGTGATCTCTGCTGCCCTGCAGGCTTGTGTCGTCCACCCCCCCTTCAAAGCTCCTGGAAATATCTGACAGCTGAGTGAGCTGCTCCTTTGGGGAACAAACAATGAACAAATCATTGGAATGCTCCTGTTCTGTCCTGTACTAGGCACCCAGCAGCGGGCAGACTGCTGCTGCGGAGCAGAGGACAGATCGCTGTGCTGCTTTTCTACTTATGAGGCCTCTCCCGGCAGCTGAGGAGACTATGGGAGAACTCGAGGGAATCCCAAGAAAGGCAGAGATCAGCTCTGCCTTCCCACAACACTGCCCGGTGGGATACATACCCAGCGTGCATTGCTGTCAATGATGGAGTCTCCCCCACCCCAGTGTGGACATGTTCTGTTGACAAAGAGAGCAAATGTAAACACCTCCTGTACTTTCTTAACGTTTAGGTGTTGACGTAAGTTTTGTCCACACAACTTGGTAGTGTGGACGCAACCCTAACATATGGGAGGCTCTTCATCCTTCTGAGGCTGCCTGAGGCATGGCTCCGGGGCTCTGTAACCATGAGAACACAGAGCAAGTCCTTGCGATTTCTGTGTTTTGCAGACGCTGGCAGATCCCCCTGTACAAATTCAGGCATAAATACAGCAAACCCATAATTGTTTTCACACTTACCCTCATGGAAAATAGCTGGGGATTCATTTCCCTTCTTGAAATACCCATTAAAACCAAGGACATGTTAAAAAAAAAATAAAACCAACCAACCAAAAATCCTCCTTTGAAAGTGTCAGAGAACCACAATCCTTGGCTGCATCTAGACTGGCATGATTTTGCGGAAATACTTTTAACGGAAAAGTTTTTCTGTTAAAAGTATTTCCGCAAAAGCACGTCTAGATTGGCAAGGATGCTTTTGAGCAAAAAGTGCTTTTGCGCAAAAGCATCCGTGGCCAGTCTAGACGCGATTTTGCGCAAGAAAGTCCCGATCGCCATTTTAGCCATCGGGGCTTTTTTGCACAAAACAGTTCTTCCCTGTATTCTTGCGCAAGAGGGCTTTTTCCCGAGCAGGAGCGTGAAAGTATTTGCGCAAGAAGCACTGATTTTGTACATTACAAAATCAGCGCTCTCGTGCAAATTCAAGCGGCCAGTGTAGACAGCTGGCACGTTTTTGCGCAAAAGCGGCTGCTTTTACGCAAAATCTTGCCAGTCTAGATGCACCCCTTCTGTCTAGAACCACAATCCTTCTGTCTAGAACCACAATCCTTTGGTCTACACAAGAACAGGCTGCCACAGGTTAAGGTGTGAATGCTGGAAATTAGGGATGGACTGAACAAGTTAGATCAAACGACCATCATTTGGCTTTTACATCTCTTTGGATCTTAAAAAAAATGCTTGATTGCTATTTCCCCTTCGCATTCGGCAGTGTCTCTGCTCTCCTGAGCTGCATGCAGGGCCAGAAGCATAAGTGTTAAAATACCATGAGGAAAAACAGATCTTCTAGCAACACTGTCACCAAGGAGAGCTAGTCTGCTTTTGTGAGATTCATCTCCCCTTTGGGGGTGGGGGTCCCCATGCCAAGTTTGTGAACGGGCTTGGAGGTGTCGGGTGGAAATAGTATTAGAACAGCTCCCCTGGCCGTGTTTAGATACTTCCATTCCTGTCCCGATGTAAACCAGGAGGATAATAAATTGCAGCAAAGGTTTCACTTTTAACCCAGGGATAGGGGCCTCTTGCATAGGAGGAAGTATTGCTTCATCCGTAAGCCACAGGACAGGGTGTCAGGGCATCCGGCTTCTATTCTTGCTTGGCTATTGTCTTATGTAATTCACTGAACCTTGCTCTGCTTTGTGAAATGGTGATAATAACAACTCTCTTGTGAAAACAGTGAAAGCCTGTGTTCACTACCAGGTGAAATGTATCCCCGTGCAAAGGGCCAAGCCAAAGGATGCCACGTTAGGTGAATGGGGGGGGGAGGATAGGACTTGTACTGACATTCAGCACAAGGGATGAATCTCACCTTACCGCTTTGGAGGTGAAATAGAAGTGCCAGGCCGTCTCGTAGTAAGTGTGGAAGGAACACCAGGAGGGAAAAAATAAACTTCTTTGGATTTCTGAAAGTTTGGGTTGAGTTTGATTCTTGTTTCCTGAGAACCACCTCGCCTGGCCCATCAGGGATGAAATCCTGCCACGTAGAAGTTGTCACCTGATATTTAGCATCCCGAACGCCTGGTATTTAGCACCCTGCATGGAAAATGCTGCCAACCATTAACTCTGCCACTGCAAGGGTGCCCTTATTCATTTAACAAACACAAGATCTTGCCTTCTTCCTAGCTGAGGCTGAGCCCTGGTTTGAGAAATATTTATAGAACATCCCCGTGGAGCGGTAACTTACTATTAATGGCATTTTTAAAAAAAGAGATAGATTTGATTAAATGAGGCAACGCTCTTCTCCCTTCAGCCTTGAATGTTTCCTGCCATGCCAGACGATGAGGAAAGCAGGCTTGCTAATATAAATAGATAGTATGATTAAAGTGCATGATTATCTTTATTTAAAATAATAATAATAAAAGTCCTTGAGCTACAATTGCACATTACATCAGGTTTCTGAAGATTTGCAGGGGTACAGCTGCAAGTTGAGATTTGCGTCCACTGGGGCTTTTTCACAGGGAAATGTGCTGGTTATTATTTATCACTTGTATCATAGTAACCTTTCCACGTGTCCACCACCAGTCCAGCCGGCTGTGCTGGGAGCTGTACAAACACAGAGTAAGAGACAGGCCCCTCTTTTATAAATGGAGAGCTGACGTGCCAGGAATTTTAAGTGACTTGCCTAAGGTCGCACAGAGCGTCTGCGGCAGAGGAAATAGAGCAGTGACTTACACCAAAAAGCGGGGCTCCTCATTTCCTTCACTCTGTGGGACAAAGGGGGCGAGGTGGGATGAAGAGCAGAGAGAGGCGCCCCAGCATAGCTCAGCATTCCAGGAGGGAAGCAATTTCATATTAATTTCATATTGGCTTTGTTGTTTGGTTTCTGTTGATGCGTTAGGTGAGGTCTGCCACAAATCCTACACACAGTTCTCCAACCTCTGCCGCCACAAGCGGATGCATGCGGACTGTCGCACCCAGATCAAATGCAAGGACTGCGGCCAGATGTTCAGCACTACCTCCTCTCTCAACAAGCACCGGCGCTTCTGCGAGGGCAAGAACCATTACAACCCGGGGGGGATTTTTGCCCCAGGCCTACCTTTAACGCCCACCTCCATGATGGACAAATCCAAACCCTCCCCCAACCTCAACCATGCCAGCCTGGGGTTCAATGATTACTTCCCATCCCGGCCTCACCCCGGGGGTATCCCATTCTCCCCTGCTCCCCCAGGTTTTCCGGCCCTTACTCCAGGGTTCCCAGGGATTTTTCCTCCCTCTCTATACCCCAGGCCTCCTCTGTTACCTCCCACCCCGCTGCTCCAGAGCCCCCTCAACCACACTCAAGACGCAAAGCTTCCCAGCCCTCTGGGGAACCCGGCCCTGCCATTGATTTCCGCCATCAGCAACAGTAACCCGCCTGTCTCCGGGGAGGAGAAGTTCGAAAGCAGCCTGGAAAACTCCTACCTGGACAAGCTAAAAGCCAGGAACAGCGACCTGTCCGACGGGAGCGACTTCGAGGACGTCAACACCACCACGGGCACGGACCTCGAGACCACCACCGGGACTGGCTCCGACCTGGAGAGCGACGTGGAGAGCGACCGGGACAAGGGGAAAGACAAAAGCAAACAGGCGGAGAGCAAGCCCGATTTTGTCAGCAGTTCCGCGCCCGCCGGCTCCACCAACAACGTGAGCGAGCTTCCCCTTTTCTATTCACAGCACTCCTTCTTCCCTCCCCCCGAGGAGCAGCTGCTCCCCCCGCCAGGGCCAGG